CCAGGATGAGCCACTGTGGCACATCCCAACTCCTCTGCTTTCCAGAATCCCAGCAGCACTGCCCTGCAGCCCTTGTAGAGAGGCTGACTGGAGCTGGCCCTTCATGCAACCAGTGAACATTCACTGGGCACCCACTGCATGTCGGGCTCTAGGAATAGGACATGGTGACATCTAGATCCCTGCACTTACGTCCTGGCCATTAGATAGTAGCACTATCCTGGGTCTCACAGGACTCGCAAAGGTCTTGGGAACTCACGTGAAACAAAGAAAATTCAGCGGAGGAATTATCAGGAGCCTCTGGGATTTCACCATCCCTAAGAGGTGTGCTCACCTCCAACTATGTGTGGAAGAAAGATTTATGACCAAGGCCTGCTGTTCTCTCATTTACCAGAGGAGGAAGTTAAAGCCCTTTCCCCCACCCCCTCCAACTCCAGGCCACCAAAGGCTCCTGAATGCCTGGCCCTTCTGCTGCATTCAGCAGATGCCAGGTGGGCTCAGTGGGTGCACACAAGCAGACAGACTTTTCCTTCAGGGGAGATCATCGCAGGAAATGAGGCCAAACCCCACTCCCGCCCCTACATGGCCTATCTTCAGTACTTGCATCAAGGGATACCGAAGTTCTGCGGAGGTTTCCTGATACGAGAAGACTTCGTGCTGACAGCTGCTCACTGTCTGGGAAGGTGAGGAGGAGATTTCCAGGCCCTTCTGGAAATACTCCACAGAGACCACTGTTTTCTTCCCAAGAAGCTCCCTGGGCTCCTGGGAACACATATGCCAGGAGGGCTTCTTAAAGAAAGAGGGCAGTAAGTCCTGTGGGGAGAGGGGAAGGTTAGTGTCAGAGGCACCGCTGAAGTGAGGGAAGAACAGAGTGGTCACATCTGCCATATTCAGAGCTGGGGCATGCTTTGGTATAAGAACAGAAACTAAAGCAATTTCACATGTTTTCCTGGGGAGAGAACTGAGTCCTGAGAACCACTGGTGCCAGTACCAGAATTCCTCCTGTCCCCTCAATTTCCCCTCAGGTGCAGCCCTGCCCTGCCCTGCCCTGGCTGTCACCTGCTCCTCACGACTCTTGGGCTGTACCCTGTGACTTCACATTCCCATGGCCCCTCTGTGCTCTCTGTGCAGCTCCACGAAAGCCACCCTGGGAGCCCACAACATCCGCAGGAGGGAGGAGACCCAGCAGGTCATCCCTGTGAGAAGAGCCATTCCCCACCCAGACTATAATGTTAAGCTCTTGACTAATGACATCATGCTGCTGCAGGTGAGGCAAAGGGCTGCTGCTCTCTCTCTACCTGGCCCTGTTGCCCCTCCCACTGTGACGCTGTCCCTTCTTCCCTCCTGTCCATCCTGGCTGCTTGACCAGTTCCTGTGCCTCAGCAGGGAGGGAAGGAGGGTCAGCCCTACCATAGTGTCTGGGCCCAGGAGGCCACTGTCTGACCTGGACATTCTTGCCTCTTCCCTACCAGCTGGACAGAAAGGCCAAGCAGACTGCAGCTGTGCGGCCCCTCAGGCTGCCCAGGGTCACAGATGGACTGACGCCAGGGATGGTGTGCAGTGTGGCCGGCTGGGGCTGGACTACTCCAGACGGCCCATCCTCAGACACACTGCAGGAGGTGACGCTGACAGTGCAGGAAGACAAGAAGTGTGAATCCAACTACCCTAATTGCTACAGCAAGGCCACACAGATTTGTGTGGGGGACCCAAAGCTTAAAAACTGTTCCTTTCTGGTAAGACTATGAATCTGCCAGCTTGGTGCTCAGGAGAGGGAAGTTTGGCAAAGATCAGGAATCTGGAGACCCAAGCAGTAGGGAACTCCTTCACCCACTAGGCTGCCATCTTTCTCTTGGAAAGAGAAGAGGGGAGCAGCCCAAGCTAACTGGGGCCTCTACACACTCAGCGTGGGATCTCTGGTGAATGGAAGGATTCGTTTGCAACACTCCAGCCCCCTCCTCCCCCCACTCCTCCTCACGGGTCACTGGTATTAACAAACTGTGGTTCCTGAGGGGGCGGTAATTATAAGCAGGTGGCTCCCGGAACAGGCACCCAGTGTGGTGAAAAGGCTCATCCTCCTAAGTGTCAGCCCTACTCACCTGCCTCTGTGTCCATAAACAGTGACCTTGAGGTAACAGTTCAACACACTTTTATAAGGAGAGGACCCCAGGACCTGGGGGAAGAGGACTAAGGCTGGCCACTGGGGTGAGGGGAAGCAGTGACAATGTCAAGGGGCAGAGCTTGGCAGCTTAGGAGGGGGCAAGTTCACCTTCTTGGGGAGGGGGCTTGAGTTGGCAGGGAGCGCAAGACCAGGCCAGCACAAGATCAGTTGTCCCCCTCTTTTCACAGGGAGACTCTGGGGGCCCTCTGGTGTGTGACAATGTGGCCCAGGGCATTGTCTCCTATGGACCGGAGGATGGGAGTCCTCCAGAAGTCTACACCAAGGTCAAGAGTTTCCTACCCTGGATACAGGAAACCATGAGAAGCCTCCAACTGCAGGAAGCAGACTAAGTCCCCTCTGTGAATGACCAAGTTCTCTGGATCTCAGTCCAGATTTATACTGGGGGAGATGCCAGAAACTGAATAAATGTTCCCCAGCTAAGCAGGAAGATTGGTTTCTTGTTTATCCATTGACCTTCGCTCTCAGGCACTAACTGTGCTAGGCAGGACAGTTGCACATTTCTGCTCCTTTTTGCTTTGGCCTCTTCCCTTTCCCCTCACCACTTCCAATCCCCCAAGCAAAGCTGTGGCCCACCTTCTTCTTATTCACACTCCAGGGCCTGCCCTTCTGCCAGGGCTGAAGCTTACTACTGTCAGGAGAGAACAGACCACTCTGGTCCTGAGCTCATGGTGACCTTCTTACCTTCTTCCTCTGTGTTGTGTGACCAAGAAGCAGGCACAGCCCAGGGTGTCTGCAAAAACACAAGGGCCCACTCCACTGAGGCTCCCCATCCCCCCCTTCCCTCTTCTAAGCTCATGGCCCACCTTAGCCTCTAGTATCCCAGCTGCCCCTTCTCTGTACCTTCTGAGAACTCCTAGAGTTCACCAATTTCTGTCCTCTCCAGACCACTGATCTGAGCTGCCCCCTCCCTCATATACCCTCTCTTAAGATATTCACAGACTCATGTGTTTCCATCAGGCTCTCACCACTGGGATACCATCCTGGCTCATGCCCTGGCTGAGAGGGGCCTCAGAGGGACCAGGCCTGTGCTGACACTGGCAAGACCTAGAGAGGACAGGGCTAGTAGGACCCCTCTCCTGAACCTGTGACTTCATCTCTACCCTGGACTAGGCCAGCTCAACCCCTCACTCCAGCCCAATGTCCTCATATGCTCAGGATCCACTGGCCACCTGGTCACACAGCAGTGTGAGTCCTTTTCAACCTGTCCCTTTTGGTCACTGCCAGCCTCTAGGCTAAGACTCCCTGTTGGCCACTTGGGCTACCTCAGCCTTTTGCATTCAATAGGACTCCTCTCTGCAGAAGAACTGGAAAGCACAAATTTTACCATCAATCAACAAACAAATACTCACTGAGCACTTACTAAGTGCCAGGCATTGGGGAAAAACAGTGAACATAGGAACAGACTCTGTCATCTGAGCCCAAGTGAAACTGACAGTGTTTGTGACTTGTATCCAAATTGTTTAACTCCCTCTCCACCCTCCAGATTAGTCCACAAGATTTAGATCTGTGTGGCAAATCTTTGGGAATAAAGTACAGGATGTCCCAAAAGTTGCCCATAAATTTGCCATGCAATGGGAAACACATATAGCAATATATACCTTTATTTACAAAATTTTCATTATGAAATTTTACAGAGGTGGCCAACATGTGGAGAATATTTTGTAAATATTTTATAAAATCGGTAATGAGCATTTTGTAAACAAAGGTACATTAAGTTACAATTTCCCATTTTCCCTTTATGGGGAACTTTTGGGACAGTCTGTATTTGTATCTTATTTTTATTTCTCATCACAGTTTGTATGAATATTATTTCATGTGATTCCAGAACAGCAGGATATAAGATTTGGAAATGACTTTAATCATTTAGTTTTTAGACAGAAACTGTGTTCACTGGAGCATGTCTTTCACCTAGGTCAGCACATAAGGAAGAAGTCAACTAGGGCAGCCTTTTTTCATTGTTACAAATGCAACAATATAAATGTCATTGTACTGCTGCTTCAGATCATAGGAAAAATACACATTCCTTTGGCCTGCCAAGAAATATAATCCCTGTGGTTCATGAAGCCCTTTCCTGTGTGGAATCAAACTAGAATCAAATGGTCTGGAAAAATGGAGAAATGGCCCATGTGGTTACTGCTACATCCATGGCTACCAGGAATTGTCACCATTAGGGAGTTCTTGGTTTGGAGGCCATGGATAGACTGTGTCCTTTTGTTGACTAAGCATTTCCCGGAGTTGAGCTCTCCTTACCAGTACTCCCAGCAGCCACCCATTCAAGGTCTTGCCACTAACGCAAAGCAGTGCCTGCGAGAAGAGCATAAGCTCCAGCTCTGGGCTGATAATGCCTCTGTCCCCAGTAGACACAAGGCTGCACTCTTGTGACACAGGGAAAAATCTCTCTCTGGGATTGTGTAACTCTCAAAGGCATCGCCTTCCACATGGTGTTGTATAGAAAGCATGATACAACACAATCTCTTAACAATTCAGGCACTTTTATGAGGGAAGAGCAGTGGATGTAACACAGCTTCTGATTCAGGGCCAAAAAAACTCCCTGCACTGGGTGGCACCTGTGGCTCAAAGGAGTAGGGCACCAGCACCATATACCATGCACCTATGGTGAAGAGATAAGCACCCCATGCTCAGACGTGGCAGTTCGCTTCACGTGCTCCTCCAGGAGAATGGCTCTGGGAAAGATTTCTTTGATGATTGAGTTCCTGCCTGCAGCCTGCAGGTATGCAGAGACACTCTCACAAAGGAATCTGGATAGCTTGTCCGGGGTTGTAGCTGGAAGCTCAAACGCCTGTCCCCGGGCATTGGGTTCTGTTCTCTGTCTTCTTCCTTCATTGACATTATAATCTCTGGTTTCAGTTTGGGCCAGTAAGAACAGACAATCAGTCTCTTTTATGTTTTTAACCCCAAACAAAATCAATTGTATATGTATTCCTCAGCCTTCACACTGAATTGTAATCTTAATGGTAGTTTCCTAATCTTACTTTACTTCTTTTTATCTGTGCTAAATTCTTACTGAATGTTTGAGAGTATACAAGATAATCAGTAAAGTTAGGCCTGGTCGCTGACCTGAACGAGTCTCGACCTCCCTTCAAATCAATCATCCTGTCTACAGTTCCTTTTCACTGCGTCTCCCATCAGAGAGCTCCGGGAACACTTCCTACGGCACACTAGGGATCTGGCTACCTCACTGGAAAAGACAAAAAAGAAAAGCACTAAAGGCAAACAAAAACAAAAGAATATTATTTTTGAATGTTGCCCAGTCACATACATAATCAGGTTATGTATATTCACTTTGAGGAAGTGCTTCTCTGGTTTAAAGCAAATTTGAAAACTATTGTTGAAGGCCTTCATCCTCCTCTGAGAGAGGAGGAAAAGACCAATTTCATGAAATTGTAGTGACTGACTAAAGGAGTCACAGAAGTTAGGACAGAGCCTGGATAGAACCCAGACTCTCTGGCTCTTATACCCAATGACCCACACAGGGTTTTTCCTTTTGCCTCGACAGCCTGGAGTTTTGCTGGTGTAGAGGTCTTGATTCTTAGGAAGGGAATCAGCAGTCAAGTAAGTGGGTTACTACAGTATGCATGTCATTTATTCCAACTGCCCAGGGAAGATGGGATTCACCGACTTACCTCTTAGTATTTCCATGGCTATTTGTGAAGGTCAGTGGAAGAGCACAGTAGCCCAATAAAGAGAGGACAACTGATATGCTTCAAAAATAAAGTTTTGAGTCATTGTGCCACATAAAAAAATCACACCAGACAGCATTCTTGAAATAAAAGACCTCTATAGGGCTTCTCAGAAATTATAGAATTCCCATTCTTCCCAGCGTCCTTGGACAAGGACCTTTCCAACCTCTGCTCAGACACTTCCTTAGAGAGATCCTGCAGTCATCAGGCTGCCTGCTAGGGCAACTGAGCTCAAGTCTGCCTACATGTGACTTTCACTACTTATAAGAAGAAGCAGTCGAAAATTCATATTTGGATATGAATGTGTGCTGCTGGTTCCTACTCTCCATATTATTTAATGGTTCTTTAAAAGTGGTAATATTTGCTCCCAAACATAATTTTTAATAGTTCATGTAGATAGCTGGTTTATTCTCTAGATCATAGTAAGGAATAAATAAATAAATTAACTCCCTTTGTCTCTCCCTTTGCTATTTCTCCCATACCATGGTTTATACATTTACAAAAGATAAGTCTGCTATCAAATGATAGTTTTAAATTATTTTGATTTTTTATTGTATATAGTATGTGGTACAAAATGATGTTATGATATATGTATACAATGTGGAATGTAAGTCAATCTGAATAACATACACATCACCTCAAATATTTAGAATTTTCTGTAGTGAGGACATTTGAAATTTAATCTCTTACAATTTTGAAATAAACAGTACATTATTTTTAACTACAGTTACCATGCTGTGCAGTAGACCTCAAAAAAACTTCTTCCTCCTGCCTAGCTGAAACTTTATACCCTTGACTAATATCTCTCCATTTCCCCACCTCCCAGTCTCTGGTAACCACCCTTCTACCCTCTGTTTCTAGGAATTTGATTGCTTTGGATTCCACATAACAAGCGAGATCATGTGGTGTGTGGCTCTCTGTGCCTGGCTTATCTTACTTAGCAGAATGTCCTTCAGATTCATCCATGTTATTCAAATAGCAACGTTTCCTTCTTTTCAAGGCTGAATGTCATTGTGCATTGTGTATATAATACCACATTTTCTTTATCCATTCATTCACTGATGAACACTTGGATTGATTTCATATATTGGCTGCAATGAACATGGGAGTGCAGACATCTCTTCAACATACTTCTCTCAAATCCTTTGGGTATATCTCAGAAGTGAGAATTTGGAATCTTATGGTAAGCTTTTTTTTTATTTTTTTGAGGAAGCTCCATACTGTCTTTCATAATGGCTATACTAATTTACATTTCCATCAGCAGTGTATGGAAATGTACACTTCATATCCTTGCAAACACTAGTGATCTTTTATCTTTTTATAATAGCCATATGACTGGCATGAAGTGATATCACATTGTGGTGTAATTTGCATTTCTCTGATAATCAGTGATGCCGAGCATTTTTTCATACACCTGTTAGCCATTTATATGTCTTCTTTAGAGAAATGTCTGTTCATATCCTTTCCCATTTTACAATTGGGTTATTTCTTTTCTTGCTATTGAGTTGTTTCAATTTCTTATATATTTTGTATATCAATCCTTTATCAGAGAGATATCTCACAAATGTTCTCTCTGAATCCATTTTTGTCTCTTCATTCTGTTAATTGTTTCCTTTTCTGTGCAGAGG